TGTCTTACTGGGGTCCCTGCCTGGTGAGACACAATTCCTCAACTCTAGTGCCTAAAGTGTGGATTCCCACTCAGCACAGATCCACGTTTCCTAAGGGGTGTCCATCCCCCCCAGAGAAGTCAGGAGAAGGAGCCATAGACCCCTGGGATGCCCCAGGGATAGGAGTAGGGGCTGGGGGCTGTATAAAATCTGTATATATTTGGGGGAGGGATTTGATAACGACACTGTTTCTTAATAAAGGAACTGCGTCAGAAAAAGCCCTGCTTGCTGTGCTATTATCTTGGGGGTGGGGGTGATGATAGGGAACAAGAAGAGAAGCAAGGGTTAATTCCCCCACTTTCCTCTTTATTTTTTTTATTTTTTATTTTTCCAGGCAAATGGAAATGAAAAAAAAGCTGGGGTAGCAATACTTATATCTGACAAATTAGATCTCAGATTGAAGGACATAATAAGAGATAATGAAGGCCACTTCATAATTCTAAAGGGAACAATCCAACAAGAAGAAATTACCCTGGTAAATATATATGCACCCAATACAGGAGCAACCAAATACATAAAAAAACTGCTGGAGGACATTAAGGGAGAGATTCATAGCAATACAATCATAGTAGGAGATTTTAATACCCCTCTGTCACCCTTTGACAAATCATCTAAACAAAAAATCAGCAAAGAAATATCAATCCTAAATGACTCACTAGACCAGATGGAATTAATTGACATCTTCAGAACACTCCACCCCAAAGCCGCAGAATATACATTCTTCTCAAGTGCACATGGGACATTCTCAAAGATAGACCACATTTTGGGACATAGGCAAAGTCTCTTCAAATTTAAGAAGATAGAAATCGTATCAAGTATCTTCTCAGACCATAATGGCATAAAACTGGAAATTAACTACAATAAAAATAATCCAAAGAAATCAAACACATGGAGATTAAACAGCATGCTATTAAACAAGGACTGGGTTACCAGAGAAATCAAGGAAGAAATTAAAAACATCCTGGCAACAAATGACAATGAAAACACAACAATCCAAAATCTATGGGACACAGCAAAAGCAGTTTTGAGAGGGAAGTTCATATCCTTACAAGCCTATTGCAAAAAACTAGAAAAAAGGGTAACAGATGATCTAACTCTACAACTCAAAGAATTAGAAAAGGAGCAACAAGAAAAGCCCAGTGTAAGCAGAAGGAAGGAAATAACAAAAATCAGAGCACAGATAAACGACATAGAGACCAAAAAAACAATACATAAGATCAACAAAACCAAGAGCTGGTTTTTTGAAAGAATAAACAAGATAGATGAACCTCTAGCCAGGCTAACCAAGAAACAAAGAGAGAGGACCCAAATAAACAAAATCAGAAATGAAAGAGGTGAAATAACAACAGACCCCACCGAAATACAACAGATTGTTACAAAATACTATGAACAACTCTATTCCAACAAACTGAACAACCTGGACGAAATGGACATATTCCTAGAAAAATACAACCTTCCAAAACTCAATCAGGAAGAATCTAAAAATCTTAATAGACCAGTGACGTGGGAAGAAATTGAAACAGTCATCAAAAAGCTTCCAGCAAACAAAAGCCCAGGGCCTGATGGCTTCACAGGAGAGTTTTACCAAACATTCAAGGAAGAACTAAAACCTTTCCTCCTCAGACTATTCCAAAAAATCCAAGAGGAAGGAACACTTCCAAACTCCTTCTATGAAGCCAGCATCACCCTAATACCAAAACCAGATAAAGACAACTCAATGAAAGAGAATTACAGGCCAATATCCCTCATGAACATAGATGCCAAAATCCTCAACAAAATTCTAGCAAATAGACTCCAGATGAACATCACAAAGATCATACACCATGACCAAGTAGGATTTATTCCAGGAATGCAAGGATGGTACAATATCCGCAAATCAATAAACGTGATACATCACATAAACAAACTGAAAGATAAAAATCATATAGTCATATCAATTGATGCAGAAAAAGCATTTGATAAAATCCAACACCCTTTCCTGATAAAAACTCTTAACAAGGTGGGAGTACAAGGATCATACCTCAACATAATAAAAGCTATATATGATAAACCCACAGCCAACATTATACTCAATGGGCAAAAACTAAAACCATTCCCTCTAAGAACAGGAACAAGACAGGGATGCCCACTCTCGCCACTCCTGTTTGACATAGTACTGGAAGTACTAGCCATTGCAATTAGACAAGAGGAGGAAATAAAAGGCATCCAAATTGGAAAAGAAGAAGTAAAGTTATCCTTATTTGCAGATGACATGATACTGTACATAAAAAACCCAAAAGACTCCATTAAAAAACTAATTGACTTAATAAATGAATTTGGCAATGTAGCAGGATACAAAATTAATGCCAAGAAATCCACGGCATTTCTATACACCAACAGCGAAACTATAGAAATAGAGATTAAAAAAGCAATTCCATTTACCATCGCACCAAAAAAATTAAGGTACCTAGGAATAAATTTAACTAAGGAAGTAAAGGACCTATATGCAGAAAACTACATGACACTGAAAAAAGAGATAGAGGAAGATGTAAAGAGATGGAAGAATATACCATGTTCATGGATCGGTAGAATCAACATCATCAAAATGTCCATACTTCCTAAAGCAATCTATAGGTTCAATGCACTCCCCATTAAAATACCAACGGCATATTTCACCGACCTAGAAAGAACTCTCCAAAAGTTCATTTGGAACAATAAAAGACCCCGAATAGCCACAGCAATCCTGAGAAAGAAGGGTAAAGTAGGAGGGATCTCAATACCAGACTTCAAACTGTATTACAAAGCCACTGTTCTCAAAACAGCCTGGTACTGGCACAAGAACAGACATATAGATCAATGGAATAGAATCGAGAACCCAGATATCAACCCAAATCACTATGCTCAATTAATATTTGACAAAGGAGGCACGAATATACAATGGAGTCAAGACAGTTTCTTCAATAAATGGTGTTGGGAAAATTGGGTAGACACATGCAAAAGAATGAAACTAGATCACCAACTTACACCATACACAAAAATAAACTCAAAATGGATACAGGACTTAAACATCAGACGGGAAACCATAAAAATACTAGAAGCATCCGCAGGCAGCAAAATCTCAGACGTATGC